TTGCTAATTTTTAATTAATGTGAATGTTGTGTAATACTTACTAAAAGCGTACTAATAGTGTAATACTTACTATTTTTGTCTAAATATTGTGCCTTTGGTTAAAATTTAACCGTTAAATAAATACTCATATTTTTAATCCTATTCTTTGTATTATTATATGGTTTATAATTGTCTGTATCATTAAATTAGATTACTTTATACAATATAATTATTTTTCTAATGTTTGAGTTTTTGTTCTCAACACAAAAAGTTTTGTGTTATATTTGTTATAATATGAATATTGTATAATTTACTAAATTTCATTGCATTAAACTTACATCTAATTATATGTTTAACATTGATTTACCCTAATTTAAACTCTTATTGATGTAAAATTTGAATCTATTTAATTATTATAAAACAATATGTTAAAATTATACTTTTTTATTCATAGAAACATTTTAAAACATTTATTAATTATAAGTAAAATTTCAATTGATATACAGTAGAAGTTATTTAAATTATATTATAAATAAATATTCATAAAAATATTCGTATTTTTTAAAGTCATGTAGTAAATTCAGAATCAAGTTAATTTAGTAATATTGGTAGTCTTGTAATTAGTTATAAAATTGGTCTAAAACTTAAAATAATTTAGTTATTAAAACAAAAATAAATATTAAAAACAATAACGAGTTATTCAATAGTATTTAAATTAATCACTAGAAATATAAGGCAACGGCGGGTAACTGGAAATCAAATTACCATTATATATAATTAGTACCCTAACACTATACATACAATAATAGTTTGTACACTATAACCGAGGTTAAACTAACGTTGAGTTAGTACCGGATAAAATGTTGGCCATGGTGGTGGTGGCAATGAACGTGGTATTAGTGGTGGTGTCGGGCAGTGCGGCGTTGGGGTCGCCAATGCTCTGCAATAACCCAAAGCACACTAATAGGAAAGCGGAGCCCAAGAGGTCTCCGAGTGATGTCAACAATGGTATGGCAGACATATCCGGGTTAATACTGAACGACCACAACAAGTGAATCAAGTTATAGCCTATAAATAGCAGTATAAACACCTGTTATCGGAGTAAAAAGTTAATTAATTTTCAAACTAACATGGTAATATTTATTAACAATATTATATAACAAACAATATTTTATAAGCTAATTAATTTTTATGCATTATTTACTAATTATTATCGTGATTATCTATTAACACAAAAATTTGCGTAAAAACGAATATTCTATATTCTTAGTTTGAAATTAAAAGTTTTTATCATAAGCTAATAAGTTATTAACTATTGTTAGTAATAACTACTTTATTCTATGTTGCTTATATGAGGGTAGTTTTAATTACCTGTATTAGTGCAAAACCAATATAGAATAGTATGAGAGGGGCTGTGATTGAGATGCGGTCGCTTTGAATGCCCCAAATGACCAATGAATACAACAGATGCAGAGGAATGGCCATCAAAAACAGCATAAGTGATAGTCTTGTGTTAATATCTGTTATCATGAAATGATTAAAAACACACAAATGTATTTATTTAATTGATTGATTTTAAGCATTAGATAATTTAAATATGTTTTAAATGACATTGAAATTATTTGCAAAAATAATTTAGATCCTAAACTTATTTATGTTAATTTATTAAACAGTAGACTAAACAGATATTATTTTTAAAGTTTATAGCAATTAATTAAAATTTTCATAACGCTCTCTCTCTCTCTCTCTCTCTCCAAAAATTCTATTGTGCCCTCAGTTCTAACATTACTTAAACATTATTTAAAACTATTTTATTTATCATAAATATTTTATTACTTTATAAACGCGGCATGTATACGCAACTTACGTATATAATGGACCTTGTTGTACCTTGTTATAATGAAATCTTAAGTAGCGATTAATCTTAACTATTAAAACAATAGTTCAATTCCATTCAATTGATATAATGAACAAGCATTTCAGTGGCATGAAATTTACCATCATGAATCATTATCAATATTCTAGATAATCGGGTTGACTGTATGGGGGGTTTGATTGTATTAAGTGAACAAATGTTTGGATTAATGTTTACTGTATTCCTACTTATTGTAAAAGAAATCTTTTTTAAAAAGTTTACATAACTTTTTGTTACATCAATTGTAAAGTATATAAACTATTTGTTTAAATACTAATAACAATCATTATATTCATTATTTTTTGTCAACGATTGTATATACAGTATATATAAATATAAGCATTTTATTATATGCATTATATTTATATAAATATTTTAGTTATTTTGTTTGATACATGAAAATAAATGATAACTCGATGACAATTAAAATTATTAAAAATAACACAAATTAAATCATTTTGTGAAATAATTGATTTATTCGACAACATGTCTAAGAAGTTATTAGTTTTCATTCATACATAGAATCAATTCATTCATATAACATGTGGATTAAAATTAAACATTAAAATACATTATAATTGCCTGATATACCCGTTATAGTGAACTTTGTTTTATTTTACTTTTGACCATTTTAACTTTGATTAATATTGGTGAAGGTGTGAAGTGCATGAATATTGCTATTTTTAATTGCAACTAGTTTTATTCTTTGTTACACATATTAATTGTTATAACAATAAATAATTATATTACTACAGTGTTATATATTAATAACAGTGAAATAAATAATATATTATTTAACATTTCTTAATAAGACATTATGGACCGTTTATAATGAACACCATTATTATTTGTGAACTAATGCGTCGCCCATTTTTTACCAAGTATAAATTTTTAAATGACATTTATTTCATTATAATAGTTATAATTAAACTACTGTACAGTTGATTGT